CTTGGCAATGGCGATTCGCCGACGAGGGCAATGTGAGCCGAGGTGGGGGTGAGCAATGGCATGGCTAGGGTGGGCGTGGGGGAGCGACCGGGTGGCTGGGGGCGTGTGTTAGGGTTGGGCCGCGCGGGGGTTGGGCCGGTGGGCTTTTAGTGCCTTTTTTTTGAAAATCAACTTTGTCGAGTGCCCCCTGGGCCGGCACTCGGCAATTTTTTTTAATTTTTTAAAACTTATTTTGCCGAGTGCCAGTGCCAGGCACTCGGCAATTTTTTTTATTTTTGAAAATCAACTTTGCCGAGTGCCCCCTGGGCCGGCACTCGGCAAAGCCCACTTTGCCGAGTGCCCCCCATGGCACTCGGCAATTTTTTTTTTGATTTTGGGCCCAAATTTTTTTCTGGGGCCTTGTGACAGTATTTCAAACTCTATTTTAAAATTTATGGCAATTTTGATTTTTTTTGATATATTTCATTAGTTTATTTTGTTTCGTCGATTTTTTCGGAATATTTCAAATTTGAACTGCAGGTACATGGAATAATGGACTTTGGTCATCCAAAAATTGATACTCATGATATTTAGGGTATGTTTAGGCCGTATCCAGTAACTCACATGAAATCTCGAGCATCTCGTTGACGTAACATGTTGAGGTACTTGCCGGAAATATGATTTTAAATTATATAAAATGCAAACAATGTCCGAAAATCACGAAACTTGTCGAGACGTCGTGTTATCGCATGTGGAGGCTGTGGTAAAAAAATGAGAAAGTTTTCAAGCAAGTTGTGACGTCGGATGTCAAAACCCAGACATCTGTCATGCAACGATCTATGGGTCAGAAGGATACGTCTGAAGAACAGTGCAGACAAGCACATGACCCTGTTCCAGTGCAACCAGGCGCTCGTGGACAGTGTCTCCATCACTGCGCCAGCTGATAGCCCCAACACAGACGGCATTACTGTGGCGTCGTCGAACAGCACCATCATCTCCAACTGTTCTATCCAAAGCGGTAAAAAAACACTTCGTTTGTGTACAAGTACACCAGTGCAATATATGTAACTGAACTGACAATAAGCACACAAACAGACGAATAATGCGCATGAATGCTAACCTTGGGCAAATGCAGGAGATGACTGTGTATCGATCCTATCACACACAAAAAATGTTACCGTCACTCACAGCACATGCGGTCCTGGTCATGGTATCAGGTAAGAATGCATATACACTAATAGAGGCATCTACTAATAACTGAACATCTTATTCTCTAGTAATATATGTACTGAGCTCAACTTCTGATCTTATGTAGTGTGGGAAGCCTCGGAAAATCTGAGAGAGCGAAGGTGGAACAAATTGTAGTAACTAATTGCAGCTTTGTTGGAACTATGAATGGTGTGAGGATAAAATCCTGGCAGGTAATTAGGACTCAGGGTTAATGAATTTGTAATAAGGTTGCACTGCATACACTCTCTAGATATGCTTGCTGCAAACCATATGCCACGCCAGAGCAATGCCCTCTAATGCATGAAGCTATGAATGCAGGGAGGGAAGGGATATGCAAAAGGATTCCTTTTTGCGAGCCTCAAGAAGTTCGGTATCCTATTGTCATCGACCAGTTCTACTGCCCGCAAGGAAATTGTCCTACAAAGGTGAGCCATACTAAAAACGTTGTCATGCTTATCACTCAGATTTGTTGTCTAAAAGACAAACAAAAGTTGAAATGTATCTGCACTTTACTGTCTTTGTAGCCTGGTGGCGTGGCAATAAGCGATGCAAAATTTATTGACATCCAAGGGACATCCTCCGAGCAAGAAGCCATCAAATTATTATGCAGCCAAAGTGTTCATTGCCATGGCATCTATCTCAGTAACGTTAACCTTTCTTGGGTGAAACATACTGCCCCAGCAAACGCAACCATTCTGAATGCCCATGGAACAACTGAGGGCATGGTGGTACCAAGAATACAGTTTTCACAGCCTTTGTAGCTAGTATGCCCTTCATTGCTATCACTTACAAGGAGCATAGAGCTAGTTTTTTTTAGATGACTAAAACTACGCAACCATAGATGTTCATGTTACATCATGTATGCAAATTATTGATATCTAATCATATAAGCTAAGTATCAAGATCTCATAGCAGCAATTACAGTATCTCACATGCTTCTGTTTCGGAGCGGCCAAACATGGCGTACCTGTTGTTCGCAACATTATCGTACATGAAGTCCCTCAAGAACCTAATTATCATCACATTTTTGTTGTAGAATTGATTAATTTGTAGCGCAAAACATAAAATGCACAAATTAAGCTCAGCAGCAGAGGGAGCTTACAGAGGGAAAAAGTTGAGGAAGATGGCAAGCTGCGGGAAGGGCAGGTTGAGGTACTCCATTATCCTCAGCACTGCTTCAGACTTGATGAAAGACCTGCAAATTTCATGATAAGATTAGCACTTCATCATACATAATATGATAATAATAACATAAACTAGCAATCAGTAGTAATCAACAACTGTTGAAGGAAGCCTATGGTTGGCCACCTGTCTTTCTCGACGAGAACAACACTGGAGATGTCGTCAGGGGACCTCCCTGACCTCTGCAGGAGCTTCCTTCCGGACTCGCTCTGCAGCGGCACGTACCTGATGCTCCTGTTCGTTGGAATTGCAAACCCATCAGAACGTATCAGAAACTGAATCGCTGTTGCTGATCGACTGATGAGTAGCACACCCAGCTGTGTGCTGTGACTGAGAATTGAGCAGGGAGGCTATACCTGTTGGGGTCGTGCTCCCGCACGAACCGGACGCCCCCGTTGCAGAGGTTGCAGACGCCTGCACACACAGAGCACGGCAGTTGGCAGATTAGGAGATTTCCCAAGACGCGAGCGGAGAGGGAGCAAGGGCTTGGGTGGGCACCGTCGAAGAGCATGATGGGCCTGGTGTCGGAGGGTTGGAAGAACTCGGCGTCCGTGGCCGCCTTGATGGACCCGCCGCCGGCAGCTGCGGCCACCTGCAACCTCGGCCACCGCGCTCTTCGTGTGGCTTGGGGCTGCTGCGGCAGGTGGCCGTGCCGTCGGTGGAGCTGGAACTGCAGGGTGGGTGACGTATAGTAGCAGGAGGAGCACTGCCCGGCGATTGCCATCGCCCTCGCCTCCTCCGCTCGGCTGCGAAGCGCTGAGCTTGAGAACAGTGCGTTAGCCTACAGGCTACAGGTGTCTAGACTCCCGGAGAGGGGATGAACTGGTGGTGACCACCAGCACCACACGAAACTGGTGCGCCTTGGGCTTCAACGTGGCGCAGCAAGTCCCACGCCGCTCATAAATTGGTCCGGGTTAGAAAGAAAAGACTAGCAAAATAGACCCGTCTCGAACATGTGAATTTGAGTTAGTTCCGTGTACAGTAAAATTCTTGGGTTTCGAAGTTCGGAAATGCCACATGTACGTCCGATGCACAATTGCCGACCGTCCTTTTTACCCTGTCCGTATGTTTATTAAAAAAATCTTATCAATCGCTTCTTCCTTCCCGTCTTTATCCCTTTCGCACTCGCGCGCTGCCCCACCCCGACGCGCGCCCATGGCTACCTCCCTGGTCGGCGGCGGCGCCCTCCCATACCCAGTGTCATCCTCCCGCAGCCCGACGGCTCCTTCCCCTATCCCGGCGTCCTCACCCACCGGGAGCCCCCAACGTCCGCAGACCAGGTGGCCCTCTCCCCCACCTCGCCCAAGATCCATGGAGGTGGTGTGGCGGTGTTGCAGGGGAGTTGGCGGCTCTCCCCCAACCCGGCGCGGCGCCCTCCCCACCCCTGTGACACCATCTCTCCTCCGGTGACCGAGCTCCCCCCCACCTCGGCGGCCATGGCGCTCCCCGCCCCCATGCCCCTCCGTCGCCGCCGAGCCAAGCCAGTGCTGGTGGTGTTGGTGCTCACGCGCTGTTGGTGTTGGTGCTAGTGGCGCTCGCGTGCAGCCGCTCTTCGCTGGCTCTCACCACATCGCCCGGAATCGACCGGCCTAGGCCTCTCTTTCCCCATATGTTGCAAATGTATATTTCACGTGTTTCAGACATTTCAGAGGTATGTTGCAATTGTTTCATAGATGTTGCAAAAATAGATCGGAGGATGTTGCATATGTTGTAAGTGTTTCAAAGGCATGTTGCAAGCATTTGTTTGAAATATTTCATATATTTCAGACGCATGTTGAAAGTGTTTATATAGACGTTGCATATGTTTCAGTGGTTGCACACATATGTTGCAGTGGCTATACGCATACATTGCAAGCATATATTACAAATATTTCACCTGTTTTTAGACATAAGTTACATAAATGCTTGCAACATTATCAGGCGAAGGGAGTGGGCAGAGAGGCTGTTCCCACGGACGCATGCGGTCCCCGCGTGCGTGCGGGAAGCCAAACAGGTGTGTGTGGTCGTGGTCCCCACCTCAAGTACAACAGTCACATGCGGGGCACGGGTAGCATTCAGGGCGGACGCTGCAGGCTGACAGGCGCCGGCGTCCAGAGTAGCGTGGGCAGGTGTGCGGGGAGGCGTCCGACGGAATCCATCCCTCCATCCCTATCGGACGTCCGGACTTTGGCCAAATGATCCCAATACATGCATAAATATTCAGCCTTTGCAGACATTAGTTCAGGACGGCACCATGGTCTGTCTAGTCAAAAAAGCAGAAAGCACAGCCATATTTTGCTAGGAGAACGTTGGACCGGCAAAGTGCCTGTTCGCTGGTTGGTACTGGTTTTTTTTTGAGAGAAAAATACTGTTGGCTGACTGGTTTGGGCTGGCTGAAACCAACAAGCGAACAGGCTGAAAACATACATAGCCAAAGAAACAAATGAACTAGATGTCCAAAATGTTAAGAAACAACCAACATCCATCCATCAATCCATGAATTTGCAGACACTGCCATGGTGATGTAGTTGAGCAAGAACGCATGCCATCTCTCATGAGTCATGCACACGGTATTAAATTAAACAACATTAACAGAGCACAACAACAGTCGCTTGGCGTCCGTACTGTTTTCAAGCCTGTTCTTCACCATCTTCCACTTCTCCCCTCTCTTCAGCAGCAGCAGCCATCAACTCATCAAATTTGTCACTCTTTCCCAAAATTATCTCAATCTGAGGGAGTTGAGGTTTATGTCAGTTCAACTCACAGGAAAAGAAGAATTGCATACAGTAAAAATAGAATGACAAAATTCACAAACACAGTGAACAGCTCTCATTAGTAAGTACTGAATTAAGGGTATAGTCTTCTCTGACCTTGGCCTTTTGGAATGGACGCCCTCTTGTTTCGTCGTTTATTTCAACAGTAGATGTCCTAATCTCTATGTAGGTTAATACATAAAGGGAAGATTCAGAGCGGCAAATATATGAATCATGTGAGCCATAACAATACACAGGAGAGATAATCTACAAGACAAGGAGGGCCCAAGGTCTCACTCTTTTCAACAGCAAATCCATTGTTCTTCAGAATTTCTGCCACGGTCACAACTGTCGCTATGGCTGGAAACAGAATAATCAACTTCGTTAGTGTAGCCTCAAACAGTACACTGAAGCAGAAATTTTGAATTGGAAATCTTTGTATATTTTAAAGAAAAAGTAGCATTGATGCAGCAAATAAATCACACAAAGAGATCCCAAATGAGGCTTAAGTTATGTATCCAGTAAGAAACAAATATCAAAACACAGACTAAGAGCATCTCCAAGAGTACTCTGTACCCCTATCCAAACTCCTATACTTAAATTCAAGGTGTATGGAGCAAAAACAACCATTCAACAGCCACCCTATATCAACTCCTATGTTTAGTTGCATTCTAAATAACCTCTCCTCCCCCTCAAATATGGGGTAGTCAGCCCTCCCTGTGTTTGGGTTTTCACACCGTTTTACCCAGACGCAGCTCCTACCCGCCAAATCCCAGCACCCTCTCGCATAGAAAATCGTCACCGTGTAGCCCTCTCACATAAGCCACCAAGCACAGCCCGCCCCGCACAGGCGCACACGCCTTCCATCCAGCACTGCCTGTCCGTCCTAGGTCCTACACCACTTCTGTTCTGCTGGCTGTTCCTTCTCGCATCTAGATGATCGTGCCCAGTGATCGATGCTAGAGGGAAGCAAGATTAATGAAAATCGTGGGTCCATATTGCTTATGTGGCGTGTTCAAAATTTAGGGTTTTAGATATAGGGGAACTGCTATTGAAGTGAAAGATTTAGAAGGGATAAATGTTTAGTCTACATGAGAAAATAGGGGTCCAAATTTAGGATCACTCTTGGAGCTGCTCTAAGAGCACGAACAGTCAGGAATCTACTTAAAATGCAAGCGAACTTTCCGTAATAAGACTGGTTGGGTTTTGCAACAGATGATTATGTTTTCTTTTTCAGCATCTCTAATGAGTAATGAATACTTCGAATACAGGAGATTGCAAATACAAAATACACACAACTAAATTACGAAACCCCCAAAGTACCTCAACATTGTTCTTAAGGTGATAAGGCAAGGCATGGTGATAGACCACCTTCTAATCGCCTAAGCGATGCCTAGGCATTCACAAGGCGACATATACCAATCTGAGAAACAGCAAGAGAGCAGGATGGAAGAAGAAAAGGAAAAGGAAAAAAGAAAAAGGAGAAGGAAGGGGGCAGGGGACGTAAGGGGCTGGCCCAGCCCACTAGCCACCCTATATAACCATCCCCTGACTTACCTATAGGGTTGCCCTACCTCCCTGATTCATTCAGCACCGCCACTCGTCTGCTCTCAGCATCGCCGCTCGTTTCCCATGTCCGTTTGCTGCCTGCAACTCCTCCGCTCCTCCTCCCTGCTGCTTCTCGGGCCCTCGTGAGCTGCGCGCTCTCAGATCAACTGAGCTTCTGCTCAGGTCAAGGTCTATCATGCCTCAATTGACAAGAGCATGTTGCTGGCCAGCCACCGGCACCGGAGCTATCAGGAATGACAGCAGTGGCAGCTGCTGGGCCTTGTTGGTTGGTTTCCCTTCCCTTCTTCCCCATTGCTCCCCACCTCTTGCTGATTTTTAGTTAGGCAACAGGGATGCCCGTCAATTTTTAAGTGCCTAGACGCCTAGGCGATGCCTTGAAAACCATGGTTATCAAGCAAACCCCAAGTGTTAGTGTCTGTCTGGAGCATGATGGTCATCTAATAACAACAGTGCATTGCATATCACTTCTGACTCAAACTTGGCATTTTTTTTTATACAATAAATTTGGCAAGTTGCATGACTGAATTCTAAGCTGTGCTCTGCTGTCACAAGGCAAATGCTGGCTAGAAATACTAAGGGCCAGTTTGGTAGAGCTCCAGGTCCTCCTATAATGGCTTCAGATTTAGCTCCTCTCGTGGAGTAGCCTCTCTGGTAGAGCCAAAGCACTTAGTAAAAAATATTTGACAAAACAGCTTCGGAGAGTATTTTTTGGCTCCGGCTCCTTAATGGATTCAGAAGAGAAGTTTTTTTTTTAACCCCGTTTGGTAGGGTTTGAGAAGCCGGAGCCAGAGCCCTTTTATAAGCCCTAGCAAAGGGACCCTAACTGCCACATAAGTTAGGGTTTTAGCAATAACCAACACAGATCCAACATTGAGAAACATAAAGAAAACAACCACACGCCGCATTCCGCATCTTGCACATCATATTATGTCGGCATACTTAATAACAGACCAAATTCGCGGAGAAGAGGCATTACATGAATGACAAGCGACCAAGCCTAAATTTAACTCCACAACTAATAATACATAAATAAATAAATCAGAAAGAAGGGCGAAGGATTGTTACAGGGACGCACCCATTCCAAGAGCTGATAGCTCAACATCGCCGTGCTGTTGCATATACCTCTGCACAGACCGAAGCAACCAAATCAGTCAAGAACCGGAAGCGGGTGGGCAGGAATATCACGGAAGGAGGCGGCGCGTAGGGGGGAAAGGGGCAACCGTACCTTGGCGAGGTTGACGTAAAAGAAGAGGGGTTTCTTGGTGTTGGACACCTGGATGCGGTTGCTGCTGCCGCCGCCGCCCCTCCTCTGCCCCTCTCCGCCTGAGGCCGCCGCCGCATCTCCGGCGACGGCGAGGTTCTTCACGCCCTCGGTGATCTCCTCCACCACCATGGTCGGTAGCTATCTAGCACGCCGCGCCGCGCCGCAACCGGATCGATGGGGTTGGTCGAGGTCGACGACTCCTGATGTTTTCCGCTTCCGGTGGCGCACCTCCCCTTCTCTCGCGTCTTCTCGGCGTTGCGGCGGGTGCTAGTAGTGGTAGGGAAACGAGGGGCGCGGAGAGGCCCGGCCCGACGCCCCCGCGCGTGGGTGAAGGTGCGTCGTGGGCTTGATGGATCTGGCGATGGGACGTCTCGGCCCAGCCTCCTTGCCGACGATTCAAGCAGCCCAAGCGGAAGCAGCCACGCAGAGGATAGCGGTCCAATTGCCGGGCGACGTTAAGGTTCCGCTTCGACGCGGCGGCCCGCAGCTCACATCCTAAAACCGATTGGTGGTTGGTGCATGCAGCATGCCATCTGTCTCGTTTGGCTTGAGCACCAACCAGCTCCCGGCGCGGAGTTGGGCGAGACCAAGGACACCAAGCTCCCATCCCAACTCGTGGAAGCTGCGTCAATGGCAGTTGCACGAACAAATTAAGGTCTTGTTTGGATTTAACGGCGTAAAGTTTGGTGGCTAAATTTTAGACACTTTATCTCTTGAGGCTCTAAAGAGAAGATCTAAATTGTTAACTAAAGTTTAGTCAACTTCACAAAAACTTTAGGGTGTCTTCGGTTGTCAAATGGGGCTCACATCCTACATCTGGATGATGAGAGAATGCAAGCTGAATGAAAATGTATAGAGAAATAATGTGTTTGGTCAAGTTATATGAGCAAATGCAAAAAAGAAAAAGAAAAGAAATGTAAAGCTGTTTGGTTATCTGCATGAGCCGATGTAACTTGTTTGCTTACCTGCATGAGCGGATGTAACTTGTATGTCTTGTAAGATTGACGAGTGAACCCTGTACCCCGTCCCTACATCCACTGGGCCTGGCTGGCCAATGAAGTTTGATTTGAGCTGCTCCCCAGAGTCAGGATCCCACCATATATTGCATGAATGGGGCAGGGTTGCAACAATGAAAATAGGGATATCCAAACAGACTTCTTTTGGAGCCCACCATATATTGCATGAATGGGGCAGGGTTGCAACAATGAAAATAGGGATATCCAAACATACTTCTTTTGGAGCGTATACGACTGAACACATACGGGATGGTGGGAGCTATGTAACCAAACAAGTCCCTAGACCACACAAGTGAGCTAAAATGGTTTAAAATTTTAGTCTTGAACTTTAGCCAACTAAACTTTAGATTAGAGAATTCCAACATGCCATAATTGGATCTTCTATTTGGTTCTGAAACAAAATTCCCTGTCCAAGTTTGTTACAAAATTGAACTTTATTTCCAAACTCAGTTGGCGTTATGAGTATATACATAGCTAACACTCGATGACCCCAAGTAGACTATTTGGTGTTGAGAGGAAGGAAGAGGAGAGAACTTTGCCCAGCTCAGCTAGCCTACTATGTATTTAGGCCTTGTTTAGATTGCCCCAAAGTTCCAAGTTTTTTCACTCTCTCTCCATCACATCAATTTTTGGACGTATGTATGGAGTATTAAATGTAGGTAAAAAAAATAACTAATTGCACAGTTTGGTTGTAAATCACGAGACGAATCTTTTGAGCCTAGTTAGTCCATGATCGGACAAAGTTTGTCAAATACAAACAAAACGTGCTACAGTGTCCAGATTGCAAAAAATTTGCAATCTAAACAAGGCCTTAAGGGTATTCATCAGTTCAATATCTAAATTTTTTGCCAAAAACGTTTGTAAATATAGTGTATACATGTATTTGTATTGAAAAAAGAAGAAAAAAGGCAAAATAAATATAATGTCAAGAATTCAACCTAAAACATGTATTCAACTGCTGCTTTTCCACCCCCTCGATGGCCCGACAAAGCTTAGCGGCATGTGGCCCAACTTCCCCCACCATGCACCACACACGGGCACACTGCAACTCCGCAAGTCTATCGGTGCTCCTCAAGCGCTTGCGCTCACTCAGTCGCTCCGTTTCTCTCATGTTTTCTTCCTCGACCCCAAACTCTAGCGTCTACCGATGGCGGCGGTAGAACAGCGGACTCTAGCACTGACAGGGCACGTTGGCATGAGGCACCAGCAGCAAAATTTATGCTAAATATTTGTGGTTCATATAGAGCACAAACTTGGGTTAGTTTATACTTGATTTAAAATACCAAATTGTAGAACTAATTTTACTATTGCTTACCAAATTACTAATGGATTTAATCGATTTGCATATGAAAATTTTAGTGTTATCCAGTGACTAAAGTTTAGGAGGTGTCACATCGGGTGTTCGGATACTAATTAGAAGGACTAAACATGAGCTAATCATAAAACTAATTACAGAAGCCGTGACTAATTCGCGAGACTAATCTATTAAGCCTAATTAATCCATTATTAGCACATGTTTTCCGTGGCACCACATTGTCAAATCATGGACTAATTAGACTTCATAGATTCGTCTCGCAAATTAGTCTCAATCTGTGCAATTAGTTTTGTAATTAGTCTATGTTTAATACTCTAAATTAGTGTCAAACATCCGATGTGACAGAGACTGTTTAGGAGGTGGGAACCAAACAGCCTCTTACATACCTATAAAATTTTAGGTTCGTTATTGGAATTTTGATTGTCAAAAAAATATGAATTGTTTTCACAATTTTGAATACCCATGTTGAAAATCCTGGACCCACCACTGCTACTAGCCTGACTTGGTTGGCATGAGCAACGAGACCTTTGCCCCGCAAGGTGAGTCAATTTGGCTCTTTGACGGGCTAGAAAAAAAAATCTTTCCTCACAAGCTCCAAGGTACTTAAAAAAAAGGTACTTAAATAAAGCACCGAAACAAACCAGAAGCTTGCTCTATATCCTTGCTTGGTAAAACCACACGATGATGAGTAGAGAAACCAAAGAAAGCAGCCTCAAGATTGATGTCAGTGAAGACATGCCTTGCATGTGTCCACAACGGCGATATCATCCGTTTCGTAGGGAGGCGTGTGCACCAACGTGGCATTCCGTCAAATCGTCATCATCTGGGTCTGGTGGCTAGCTAGCTGGACGTGCATCACTAGTGCATGCATGCGAGGGCTCCATACCTTGAGTGCACCACTACTATATGCGTGTTCTGTATTATTGTGCCATATGTAAATATATACTTATAAAAATTCCAAAAGTAAGTGATCATGAGTCATATATATATATATATATATATATATATATATATATATATATATATATATACACATGTACATACGGTAAGGCTATTCTACAGCTGGCCACAGAATAACTTATTCTATGGCCACTTTGATTTACGATAATGACAATACACATTTACGATACATGGGTTACTATAATTCAAGATGATACTTACCGTAATACTATAGTAAATCACTTATGATGGAGTTACCATAATCTCATAAATTAGTATAATAATTATCGTAATTCAAAGTGGCCACAAAATAACTTATTCTGCGGTCAGCTACAAAACAGTACGTGTGCATATATATATATATATATATATATATATATATATATATATATATATATATATATATATATATATATATATGTGTGTGTGTGTGTGTGTGTTCATGCATCCCAAGCTTATTCCACGATTATTACGCCAATGTATATAAATAAATACTCTGTCATTATTCCAAGTCAAATTGAAGGTAACATCACCGGTGTGCTTGTCCTATAGGCGGCCTGTTAGCAGCTTAATTGGGATATATATATATATATATATGGACTAGTACGTACTAATAAGTGCTCCACTTGTTTTTTGATCGGATAAGTGCTCCACTTGTGACATGCTCATCTGATATGGTGGCCATTATGGGTAAGTACACATGTTATGACATGCTCCACATGTTATGGCACGCTACCGGGTGTTGACATGGACGACACTTCATGTGGAGGCCCCATGTTAGATTCATCTCTTTCTCACGTGGTTGCTTGCGACCCACCATGCTGGCTCCCCAACTTTTTCTTCCTCCTCGCCTCATGATCTCCTTCCTCTTCACGTCCATGCCTCACCCTATAGTATTAGCAACAACTAGATGAGCAGGCTCTCATTTGCTGACAAAGGGGGAGAGGGGAGGTGGATCCGACGTGTGGGCCTCACATGTCAATCCACGATAATGGACAATCAATGCATATTGCCATGTCAGCGCACGAAGCAGGTCAGGACCCATTTAAACTCGAATGACGCCCGGAGTCAAGTTTAGGGACCAAAAAATGACATCTTCTAAGTTGGGCGACCTATATAACATGTAGATCTAAGAAATTTAGGGACCCCAAAATAACATTTCTTGAGTTGGTGGGCTGGGATGACACTCCCTTCTAAGTTTGAGGACAACACTCATGGATTTTACCCTAAATTACAACAAATTGTGCACCACAAAGGTTAAGTATAAGGATTCACAGCCTGATCGCTGGGGCTGGCTAGGCTGGCCAGCCCCCTCACATGTGCACTGTTCACGCGAACCAGCCAACAGTACTTCTCTCTCACATAAACGAACCAGCAATGATACGAACCAGCCAACCGAACAGGCTGTCAAACAATAGATCTTTAGATTAATGAAGTCATCACAGACATCCGTTGCCGATGAACATGTATCACTAAATAAATAGTCGTACTAAGCTAGTGAGACACACGAGAGACGTCAAATTAAACCTTACAGTTTGATCTCTGATAAGTGGTGATATACTGTTACTTCTTTTCTATTATAAGTTGCCTTTGTCATCCTCGGAGAGGTACAAGACATACAAGACGCGAAGTACCATCAGCTACTACTAGGAGGTAGTAGTGTAGTACCAAATTTGGTAATGATATACACCAAAACCACAAGTTGTATATATATATGTGGTATGGCTTTGTAGCTCTCCAGAGACCGTAAAAATTAAAGGATCGTGCTATTATAGTTCTCGGTGTTGACATGGGCCCTGCATTTTGTATCGATCTCGCGCTCTGCCCCTAATCTACCTGGCCACACTTTTAATTAGTGT